CTTGTTTGAAATAGTTCTAAAAAATTGTTATTTTAGCAATATTCTGCTCAACATAGCATATATGCATATTTATGTTTAGCAACATGCTGCTGGAATATTTGAGTGGAAATGTAGAAACATGTTGCTCAAGATATTTGAGCCTTTTTGTGTAGAAATCTTATGAAAATGTTTAATTTTACAAAGATTGTAGGCGTAAAAGAATTTGGATATTAAATTTTTTAGTGTGCTTTATTAAATTGTAGTTTTTTGTAATAAAATTTAGCTAGGACAATGCAGAAGCTGTACTATAAAAAAATAGTTTCGAATCAACTTGTTTATGTTTTAGTGGATTTTAAGTTAAATTTATAGTGAAGGTTAGTTCAAAATATCAAAAGGTTCACAACTAGTTTACTAATTCTAGAAAATCTAGTGAATATTAGTCAAGATTATTTACATAAAAATATAATCAATAAATTATGTCTGTACAAAGTTATGTAAAACTGTATAATGCTTTGCTTTTAAACTTAGAAGCATATTTACTTAAAACTAGTATACAATATTTACTATTAATTATTTGTCTTTGTTTATTTTATATTTTTTTTTTACTTACGTCACTAAAAGCAGTCATTGTTTCTCCTTAAATGTTATAATTCGTAAGTTATAGAAAATTTACAAATTACTTTATTTTATGTACATGAATTTAGATAACATCGATTAAAAAAATTTTTTTAAATAAAAAAGTAATAAATAAAAAAATTCGATAACAAAGTTAATAATAAATAATAAAGCGAAATATTAATAGTAATAAATAATATAGAAAAAACAAAATCTGATAAATGTTGATAAGATAAATTATATTTAAACATATTTTATGCATACATATATTATATTAAAAACTCTGATATCTGAAGCGCTAACCTAAGAGAATAATAAAACAAACAAATATATTTCCCCAGCAATAATTTTCGATACACCTGGCAACCTTGTTGTCAACTGTCGATATACAAAGTGCCCTTAAGTGCAACTGCTTGTGTTTAAGCTACTTTTCGCCCTCCTCTCAACTTGCAATTCTACAATTACAGAGCATAGAAAGTTTTTCAAAGATTTTGCTCAAAAAGTTTGACTCAGTATTTATTTTGAACCCTATATAACACAGTATTTATTTTGAACCCTATATAACCCGGAAAAATCACATGTCACGAGCTTACAAATATACCTATAGAAGCAGAGAAAAAGTACTTAAGTCCAATTTGGTCAATGAAAGTTGTACAGAAAACGTTCTTAAATATATCTTTTGTAGTTACGCTTTCAACCAATTGATAACTAAACATTTAAAATACCAACAACACAAGGTCTAAATGTTGTGTTTCCAGGCGTTCAAATCAAAAAAAGCGTGAAAATCTCAAAATTTAGGTAAATCAATTTCTTTTTAACAAAATTTATTTACATTTATAATTTTTGTTGTTATTTAATTAGTTGAATCGGACTTTTTTAAAATTGCTATTGTTGTGAACCATATTTATTCTCAAAATTTATAAAAATTAAGTTAAGCGTTATTTCACAAAAAATTGTTATATTCTCACGAAAAATTAAAACTTAAAAATATAATCCAGCAAAAGTTCTCAAAATTTATAAAAAACGACTTAGCCGCTATTATTTTTAACGTAAAACTTCACAGAAATATATGCATATTTTTGTTCCTGTTTAATTATTTGAACTTTACTACTATAATATTAGAAATTTTGGTAGAGTAACTGTCTTTCGACACACCTAGGCCTTCAGGAGGCCCATTGTGACATCTTGAAAATTTATATGGACCATATTTTTTGTTAAAATTTTCAAAAGTTGACTTAAGCTTTTATGCGTGATTTTGTATAAATTTGTTGAATTCTCGTAAAAAGTTAAAATTTAAAATAAAAAGCAAGAGCAAGTACAAAATTCTCAAAATTTATAAAAATCGTCTTATGCGGTTATTAATTTTTTTTTTAAATACTTAAATATTCACCAGAGATTTGTGTATATTTTCTGTTGTTATTTATTTATATGACTTTTATAATATTGGAAAAACTTACAAAAGTTTAGTTAAGCTTTTATACGTGAATATGCACAAATTTATTGAATTTTCAATAATATAAATGCTCAAAAATTTTTTATACTATGTTCGGTTGATTTTGAACGGATTTTTGAGATTTTCAAGATCGACGTTTTTGTACAACAATAACCGTTATTTGACGAGAAATCGTAAAAACACTACTCGGAAAATAATATTTTGGATAGTTTGTGACTATTTTGAATTTTCAAAACAAAAATAACAAAAAAAAAATGGAGTAAATATAATATTATAAAAATAGCACACAAGTACAAATCAAAACAAAAAAAGAAAAACAAAATACGAAATAAAATACCAACACATAATTTCCATATGTAGCAAATTATTTATTTTTATTGTAAAAAGCATAGTTCGAACTTAATTCTCATTTCATATTCGCACACTCACGAACAATACACAACAACATAACATTTTTGTAAATTTTGAAATTTAGTCGCCATAAAATATTAAAAATAAATTATTAAATAAATTAGCGGAAAATAATTAATAGATTCACTTGAATTTATTCACATATTCAATCTATAAGCTATATACATATGTATGTATGTATATGTGAATGGTGTACAGTTAGTTTGCAATACATTTTGCACATTTGCAAATTTCGCCGTTTTTAATGCGAATTGGTGTTTTCGATCTTACAGTGACTTTTACCAACTATTTAGTACAGTTATTTAGATTTTGTCGCTTACACTCTACTACTACACACACACACTCGCTCATGCGTATAACATCATTTTTGATTTCACTAAAAATTTCACATTAAATTTTTTGCTTAATTGTTTGTATATATTTATATAAATGTATGTATTTATGTGTATGCCATATTGGAAGCTATATATGTGTATCCAATAGAAATTGCTTAACGCTTAAATACTTAAACTAATCAGCCTCATAGTGTAAGCTTAAATTTATTTATTTTAGTTTTAAGTTTTTTTTTTGATAACATTTTTTTAGAAAAAAATCTATTATTCAAAATTTTATTTAATTATTTTTTGCTTGTGCCTTTAACGAGAAATATTTTTTAAAGCATTATTTTTTATTTCGTTAATTTATTTAGTATTTTTAAAAGTATACAATTTTTATTCATAATTTTAATTTTTCCAAATCATTTTAATTGAATAGCTTGTTAGTTTTTGAAATTATTTTTTTAGAAGCTCCGAGCGACTAATATTTTTGAATTGCAATTAAAATCTGTATATACAATTAGTTTTGTTATTTAAATATTATAGTTTTTGTAAATCCTATTTTTTTATTATGGAATTTTATATGTTTGACTCATTTTCAGGTGTTTGAATTAAGAAAAAGCAGAAACAAGTCAAAAATGTAACTTCTTGTTAAATAACTCGAAATTTAGAATTTAAAATTTCGGAGCAAAAAATATTTTTTTTTGTTCCTTTTCATAAAAAGCCAATTTTTAAAAGAAATTTCTAAAAGCAATTTAAAAAAAAAAGTAGAACTTCAAATTTCTGTGTAAAAATATGTGGTTTCTTGCTTTTCACAAAAAGATAAATTCAATTTTAAATTAATTTTACTATAAAATTATGAATTTGAATAATTTCCTATTTCTTCTCTTTGTAAAAAAATTCGTAAAAACTTAGCAAAATTTTCGTCATTTCATAACTCATCACTATTGTACTACTAAATGTGTCGTAAACTTCATATTAAACTCCGTACAATATGAGAGCTTCAAAAATATTTATTTGGATCAATTTATCCTAAGCGGTCCTTACTAGTACTGAAACTGAGTATTAAAAGATTATTTAAATAAAACCTCTTTCTTTCCAAAAAACCTACACAAGATCTATGAGAAAAATTAAGTGAAGCAACCAAAACCATTCATTTAGAACAGTGCAGTGGTCTAAGAATGAATTGGGAAATTATAAAAAAAAAACATTATAGTCAAATCTCTGAACATAAATAATTTTTTTTTTTTAATGAAAATTGTAGTTTAAAGTTATATTCTGAGGCAAAATACCTGGAAATTGAGCAATGAATATTCAATATAATCACTGAAAAGCGATGAAATTATGGCTTAATATTTTGCTGAATTTTGAATGAATTTTTGAAATATATCTAAATTTAGCTGACCATATTTGTCCCGGCAAAATCCGACAGTTTTTTTAGTCATCGATTTGTTTCATATTATAATTCACTGAAGATCGCGGTGAGAGAGCAACACAAATTTATTCAATTTCCAAGCCAGGGACGCTTAACACGGAATTCGGACTATCCCGGACAACCCAGGACAAATGGTCAGCCAAAACTAAACGTTTTTATACAGATCAAATTTGTTTCTTTCCATATACCTCAAAAAACAAATATATATATATATATATAAATGTGTTATAAATTTTTCCGCATTATCGATTTTTAAGGTCGATATTTTTATGCCATCTATTTTTTTGCAATAATTTGCGCAAGTTATCGTTATTATTATCGTTTTTTATGTTATCGAAATCTATTATGGAATTTTATGTTTTTAAATTTCGAAAATTTTTGAAATTTACTCGAATTATTGATTTTCTGTTACCGATTTTTAAGATAGATATTTGAATATTATTAATCTTTATATTATTTTGCACAGTTTCTCGAGTTATATAGAAAATTATTTTTGTCGATATTTATAGTGGAATTCTTTTAGTGAAATTATGTTTACGAATTTTGCAAAAATTTGCACAATTTTGAAATCATTTAATTATCGATTTTTATGTTGCCGATATTTAATATAATATATATTTTCGTTATTGATTTTTCGATTAGTTTGCATCATTTTGAAAATTTTGTTTATAGCAGTTAATTCGTAACTTTTTTACACAACGACTTTTTTTGTTATAGTTGTTTTTATGGAATTTTATATTATCAAATTTCGCATTAATTTGCACAATTTTTAGAAAAAATAATAATAATGGAAAAAATAATTTTAAACTTTTAAGGAACGATTTTTATGCTATCGATATCAATTACGGAATTGTAAGTAACTGAATTTTAAAACAATTCGCAAAATTTAAAAATTTTGTTTATAGCAGAGAATTCGTAATTTTTTTTACAATCGTTAGTTGTGTTATCGATTTTTAAATGGCTCTTCCCTCAAGTAGATCTAGATGCAACAATGTTATTAGCAAAATTTGTCCAGGTGCTTAGATCTGCAATATCATTTCGTCTTCAATTCAATAAAAAGTTATCAATCGCACCAGCAAAAAAACAAAAACAAACAATTTTTTTTTTTAGAATTTGGAAAATAGTATTTATGATACTTTCTCTTGTATTTGTAGTATGTTTTCAAAAGTTTTGGTATAAGTAAGGTTTTTTATGCATGTATGTATATATGTGTATTTACGTATATGCTCATAAGCCAAACATTTCTTTCAGTGTTCCACTATATACGCATACTTGAAGCTTAAATTTAAAACGATTCACTATATAATAATTAAATGTATCAGTACATATTTCAATATTAATTAATTGATAGCATTACATATATGTATGTATGTATGTAAATTTTAACAGTAATAATATTAAATATCTCGCTTACATTCTCATTACAGCTATAAACACTTGGGCTCAGTTTTGTTTTTGAAAAAATATTCAATTCAAGATTTTCATGATTTTCATATATTTCATATTTTACTTTGTTTAGTTTTTTCTTCTTCTTCTTCTTCTTTTTCAGTTTCTTTTTGTTTTTGTTCATAATAATAATATATAATAAAATTTTACAAATAGAAACAGTTCAAAAAGCACCGATCTTCAGCTAAGTTTTGCTAACGTGATCACGTCTGCACGCGTCCCACGTGGCATATGGTTTTTATATATACATGTTTATATGTATGGTTTTGTGTAAATGTGTGTTTGTGTATCTGTGTTCACTACAACTATTTTCTTATGCCTAAATATTTCATATAAAGTTGCTTATAAACTTACTGCTTACTTTTACTTGGTATTATAGTGTTCTATGTACATATGTATGTGCGGTATTTTGCTATACTTATATATCATATTTTACATATTTACTTATGCTCATTTATTTATATTAAAGTAAAGTCTAAGTTTATGCAATGCGCTTACTAATTAACTAAACTTTTCTACTGCTTACGAGCTTTAGAAATGACAAACCTCGAAAAAATTTTACTACAGGAAGTTATAAATTAAAATTTTGTGTTGAATTAGGTAGTCACGCTGTTTTCTAAACGTTTCTTTATTATTTAAGCAATATACTTTAGCAGCTGACTAACTTTATGCTTGTGTAGGATTGAAGTTGAAAGATAGGCCTCGAAAGTTATGTGCAATGAACTTTTGCGTGCAACTTTCATTAAATGGCAAAGAGCTTTCATCGATTTTCGGAAGGTTTCCTTTTGTTAAGTTTTTCTATCGCAAAATTTTAATAAGAGATTGCAAAATGTTCTACAATATTAAAAAAAACTTTCACTAAACTGCAAAAAGCTTTCATCGATTTTCTGAAGCTTTCATTTCTTATATTTTAGTAATTTTTAGCTAATGCAAAATTATGACAACGTTCAACTAATATTCGTAAAAGCTGTAACGAAAACTAAAAAGCTTCCACTAAATTCAAAAAATATTTCCAAGCATTGGGCGAAATCTCGTCAAATTCATCATTCAGCAAATTGCAACATATTTCACAAAATTTTAAAAAACTTTCGCTAAAGCGCAAAAATCTTTTATCAATATGCAAAAGCTTTCAATTGTTAAATTTTTCTTTATATGTAAAATTGAGACAACTTTCAACCGATATTTGTAAAAAATTCAATCTTATTGCGAAAGCTTTCAAAAAGAGTAGAAAAGCTTTCACCACGTTTTAAAAAAATATTAATAAATTAAGAAAATCATTCATCAGATTGCAAAACAGCTCACAAAATTTTAAAAAAACTTTCATTACATAAGAAAATATTTTCGCATCTAATAACTGATTGTAAGATGCAAAAGATTGTAAGATTGTAAAAACGTCAATGCAGCTTTAACAAAACTTTTAAAGCTTTAATGTATTTTTTTTAGCTTTTACTACAACTACGAAAAGCTTTGAGCAAGATCTAAAAATTTTTGTAACATCTCATCGTGAACTTTCGCAAAAGCCTATAGAGCTTTCGTGTAACCTTTTTAAGCTTAAGCTTCGAAAAAGTTATCAGAAAAGTCTAAATTTTGACAGATGACTGCAAAGCGTTTTCGCTCAGAAATCAGTAAAGCTTTCATGCTTGTATTAAAATTTTGAAGCTTTCACTAATTTTTCAAATTAATTCAATTCTGTTCTAATTTTTTCACTAATTCATTTACTAGCATAAAGTTTGTCAAAGTGCAGCATGATATCGCAAAACACGCAGTTCTAAATCAATATAAGGCAACTTGTTTTCTCCAACAGTTTTCCAGTTTCGCTAGCATACTTTTTTGAATCTGTTCAGTTAATATTATGTTAGTACTATGCTAATTTTAAATGCAATTTGCAATAGAGCTTAGCCAAACGTTCAAATTAAGAAATATTATTTTAAAGATTTGTTTGTTCTTTTACTGTTATTTTAATATTTTTAAACTATGAAGATGCATAATTTGCCACGTATAAAACTCGCGGTCACATGAAAAATTTCTGAATAATTTTTGAATTTTGTTTCGTCTTTTTTTTAACAAAAAATAGTTTGTGCAAAATAATTGGCTGCCAATTTTGAGATCTTTTCAAGAAATTAAAATTTTTTTATTTCAACTACCACTCATACGCACTCGAAACAGTTGAGTAAGGCGAGTGAATTTTGGAGTTAAATTTTTTTTTTTTATATTATTAAATGTATATTTTAACTAATTGCTTGTAATTATTTATAGCTACATAGACCAATCAATAAATTCACTAATTATAAAATGACGTTGTCGACTATTAAATTAATAATACCATTAATGTTTTAGTTTTTCATCTTAGCTCAGTTGTATTTGTGTAAAAGCACTCATTTCCGACCAACTGAAAATGAAAGCGCGCCATTTATCAAAGGCGGCACGAAATGAGCTTTCACCTCTTCATATTGCACTTTTATAATTGTTGTTATCGTTTTTGTTTTTGTTTTTCCTGGTTTTGTAAGACATTCCAGCTCTGTGCTGCCGCAGCTACGACAGCGCTTTTGAGTGAAATCAACGGGTGACAATACCATTTCCACTCAATGCAATTGAGCACTCAACTCAATTGCTTTGCGAACTTCGACGCGTTCGCCGCACCTCAATCGCAACTTTTCAGTTTGATTTTAGTTATTGTTTTTATCTTCGATAGCACTTCAGCGTACGCCAACCGCGCTCTACGTGCACTCGATGATCATCGGTTGACTGGATTCGATCACCGATGGGCGTGACTCTTGATTCTGCGCATGCTGATGTGCTGCCGCCGCATGAGCGGCTGCCGCTGCAGCTGCTGCCGCGGCATGGGCTGCTGCTGCTGCAGCATGCGCGTGAGAGACGCTCATGTAGGTATCGTTGGGAGCAACTCCGGGTGGGGAGTTGATCGCGTTCGCGCCACTGCCGTTTGCGGTGCCTGGTGGTAGTAAATGCATTTGTTGTTTGATGCTAGCTTTTAGTGGATGTGGCTGTTGCTGTTGCTGCTGTAGCAGCTGTTGTTGCTGTTGCTGCAAATGTTGTTGCTGTTGCTGTTGTAGACTGTGGTGGTGTTGTTGTTGTTGCGCGTTTGAGCCAAGCAACATTGTAGCGGCGTTTGGATTCGTCGTTGCGCCGGACAAATGTTGGGCCGCCGCCGCTGCCGCGTGCTGTTGCAACATGGCGGCATGCTGCTGCTGCAAATGCGCGTGCGTCTGTTGTTGTTGTGTTTGTTGTTGATGTAGCGGATTGATGGAAATTAGACGTGGTGATGTTGGACGAACGGCAGCGTTGGCGTGGCTGCCAGCACCGCCGCTGCCGGGTGGCAGATGGCGCAGGTGTGGATGCATTTGTTGTTGCATATGCTCGAAGGCTTCGCGCGAGTCGGGCTCAGGCACATATTTGTCTGTTTGGAGGAAGCAATGAAGAAGTAATGCATTAATATTTACTTCACCAACAATAGAGTGCGCTTTTCACGAAAACTTACCTAAACACTCTGAAGTTGCTGCCGCGGCCATGGCCAGCTCCTCCTCCAGATCGTTGGGCTTACAGCTTGTCGTCTTCCAGTGTGTGCGCAGTCCGGAAGCGCTTATGTACTTCTTATCACATCCCTGACAGACATAGGGTCGATCGTTGGTGTGCAAGCGCTTGTGGAGCTTCAGATGTACGAACTGTGTGAACTTCTGTGGGCACAGATCGCAAGCATATGGCTTTTGACCGCTATGCAAACGCAGGTGGGTCTTCAAATTCGACGTCGAGGAGAAACGCTTTTTGCAAATGTCGCACTGATGTGGCTTTTCACCGGTGTGCACCAAATGATGCTTCTGTAAATGCGCCAGCTGTGTGAAGCTCTTCGTGCAGACATTGCACTTGAACGGTCGCTCACCGGAATGCGTGCGCAGATGCACTTTGAGATTGCTCAACTGGCCGAAAGTCTTACAACAGACATTACATTCATAGTGCATTTTGCCATCTTTCTTCTTCAATGGATATGGCAGTGAACGGTAGCCGCGCGCCGCCAACGAGTTCGGGCTGAGTGGACTGCCGCTGCGTGGACACGAATTGCCATCGGGGCTCAGGCTGCTGGGCGGTGAAATGCGCAACGGTTTCATTAGCATCTGTGAGCTGGACTGCAGTAGGTGCAGATTGGGTGTGGAGCCGCTGGACGCATCCCATTGGCGATCGAAGGGCGAGTGTGAGCTGTGTGGCGGCGAGTGGAAGGTGGATGTGGGCATATGTGACAGTGGATGACCGCCACCTGGTGCGCCACCATTCACACTACCGCTGGAATATGGTGAATACGCAGAGTACGGCGGCGTTTGATGGCCATCCGAGACGAAGGCGCTGTGTGCAACATGCGCCGGCGAGAATTTCAGATCATGGCCCGATGCCGGTGGTGGCGAACAATCGTCCTTCAGACTGCCACGTGACGATGCAATTAGCATTTCGGTGTCATGCAGCGCTGCTGCATGCATATCGGGCGCCTGTGCTAAGTTGGAGCTGGAATCGGGACTGACAGCATTGCCATACCTATGCGATTTCTTATAGGAATAAGCCATCTCTGTGGGTGATGAAGGTGGCGGTGTGGCCGCATTGGCTTGACGGCAAGCAGCCGCTGCAGCAGCTGCGGCCTCTAGTCGATGCTGACCAGTCAATATGGTTTCGAGTATGCTGGAGGAAGGAGGCGTGAAGCGCATGTAGGCAACTCCAGCCGCCGACGAAGTTTGTGCGGCTGTGGGTGGTGGCGGCGGTGTGGTGGTCTCAGCTTCGTAGTATGCCTTGTTCATTGGCACAATGGTACGCGTCGCATGGCCGTTGGTGTTGTTTAGGCTACGGTCCACCATGATGACGGTGCTCGAAGCGTGTTGTTGTTGTGTCGTTGAACCAGGCATATGGTCCACATCCATCGCTTCATCGTCCAGCTGTGTTGAGGACGTACAAGCAGGTGTGGCTTCGTTGGCGGCCAGCAAATCATCTTCGCTGGATGTGGCACCAACTGTGGGCAGTTCGTCACTTGTGTTCTGTTTGCTATTGTTTGTGTTGTTTATGTGGCACATGGCCTCAGTCTTAATGGCGCATTTGCTATTCTTGAATTCATACTTTAGCGGCATTTTCACCTTAAACTTGCGATACTCATTCTTATCACCACCACCACAATCAATAGCGGCGGCAGCGGAAGACACCACTGCGGGCGTCGCTGACGTGGCTGGACCACAGTTGTTAACAGCCGCATTGTTGTTGCTGCTACTGTTTGCAGCAGCTGCTGCCGCGGCCACAGCCGCAGCAACGGCCGCCTTTTGCGGATGCGTAATGACAGTCTCTTTTGGGGCAATCGCTTTCTTCGAACAGTCCAATACATAGTTGTGCTCACTCTCGCTATCGCTCGAGTCTTCGGGTGGGGTCAGCCCATCCTCATGATACTCGTTGCTGTGGTAGCCCTCATCGGAACGCACCGAGCGCACGCTACCATCATTCGGCGTTAGCTGATGTTCATAGTGCGTGTCTTTATGTGGTAACGGTGAGCCCGCCACCTCTTTTGCATCTTTCGCGCCACATTCACTTGCCGCCGGCGAGCGTTCGCGCACAATTACCGACGCGCCAGGCTCCTGCTTCAGATGCAGCACCGTCTGATGTTGTTGTATGTGTTGTTGATGGTGCTGCAGGTGTGTTGTAGGTAGTTGTTGCGTCGAAAGTTGATGGGTGCTCGGCCGCTGCGTTGACTGCGCGTGTTGTATGTGTGGCAGTCCGACCAAATGCTGTGGTACATGACTGGCGTTCGCGTCACGGCAACTGGGTGGCGATGGACTAGGCGTGATGGAGCGCCGACTAACGGTCGCATTGCCTGCCACCACCGCCGGTAATGGTGGTATTGGCAGTCCCATAACGTATGTGATATGGTTGTATGCAACTTCGGGTGGTATCTCGGGCGCTGGCATGCAGTATGGCGAATTTGAACGCAATTTCGCTTTATGGCTCAGCAGTAATGTGCTGGACGCTGTGGCATTACTCGGTACATCTTCATCTTCGCCATCTGCCTCCGCGTCCTCATCATCGTCCACAGCCTGCTTGCAAGCGCCGAATATCGTACGCTCCGGATCGACATCATAACCCAGCCGTCGTGCGAAATCCTTGCAATACCACACCATCAACTCTTCGTTGGGCATAATGTCACGTGTGGTGTAGAAATAGATGTTCTCTTGATGTTGACATGCCACCAAATTCATCACCGACAAGCTGTACGCGGAGGCGACATAACGCATCCAATTCGCCTGCGCACGATCCGAGCCATCCAGATAGTAGAAGTAGTCATCTTTGAAGATCTGTTGGCGAAATGCGTCAATCATGTGAGGGGAAGAGAGGAAAACGAAAAGAAATTGGGGAAGTTTGGTTAGCTTATGGGATATAGCCAAAAATATATGTCAACAAGTTAAGTTAGTTGAGTAAGAAAAACAACAACAAAAAAATATTGTACGAAATGGTACAAAACACTTATTTGGCGGCATATTAGCAACAGTGTTGTGCACCATTTTGCCGGTTTTGGAAAAATTTCGACACAAAAGTTCAGAGTTCAGTCTACAAAGTTGCGTTAGAGTTCGCTTTCAATGAAAAAAAAAATTTAAACCAAATATCGTAAATGTATTATAATATGTACAAAAAGAGTGTACAACAACAACAACATTGGAAAAATACATATACAAAAAAATATAGTTATATATAGTATATATGTATATAGCGAGACACCAATTCATAAAAGACCAATAACAGGCAGTATTTAAAAAAAATTAAAATTAAATATTTGTTGCTTATAAAAATTAAAGTAATATTAATAAATTAACAGTAAATTATTATATGTTTGAATATTCTATATTTTTTAGCATTGATTAGCTCAATACGCGCCTAAAAGTATGTTAAACTATAAAATTGGCTACAGACTGAGTTCGCCAGAATTTGCAGACTTAAAAAAAAAAAATTTACTAAGAAATTTATAAAATTTTAACAAAAAATTTTTTTATTTCATACGCATAAAATTTTAACAATTTCTCTTTTAATACTCTTACGTATGGTTATTTTCTTTTAGTTATAAAATTGAAGATAAAAAGACGAAATATGCTTTAGTTTATGTCCAAAGTTAAAAATATAAGAGCAATACGATTTCGTTAGATCTAGAATATTGTTAACTCTAGTACCATAGAATGCTTTCAGTGTCTTCTAAAAAGGATTAAGCGTATTTTATCAAATATAAATTTATATTTTTAATAATAAAAGTGCTCTAAAAGACTGATTTTTAAGTCGAAAAATTATTTTCTCAATATCTTCGCATATAATAATATCAATTGCTTTCAAAATAAAAATCGTCTGTAGCCAGCTTAAACTTTTTAAAAATAGCTTAGCATACATTTAGGCTGCATGTCAATATATTAAAACCAAAAATTTACAGTTATAAGAGAATGTTAAATAGGGAAAGAGAAAGATAGAGCGATAGCTATATATATATATAGAGAGAGCGAGAGCGACAGTGAGCAAGAGTGTAGAACGTCGAAAGTAGTTGTACTTAACGTTTAAAAGTTAGCGGTAAAAAAAGTTGTTAAAAAGCATAAAATAGTACCTTAATGTTCCCGTAGGTTATGTGGCGTGTTTCCTGCACCTGATTATTTCGTTACGAATTTTGTTTTACGAATTTCGGTCATTTTATTTTTTTCATTTTACAAATGCGTATGCGTTTTAGAATTTCGTTTTTTAGGTTATGTCGAATTTGTAGATGATTGGTAGAGTTGTTGTTATTTTATTTTTTGTTTGTTAAATTGGTGATGGTAGTTTTGGTGGTAGGAATATATTTATTTATATATATATGTACATGAAATTAAATGGAAAAATTTTGGTTTTGGTTAACGGTTAGAAACTTTTAAATTTTATAAAAATTAATTTTTTTTAATTTTATAACTAAGCATTTTAAAAATTATAGAAGTCAAGATTAGTAAATTTATAGCGTGAAATGTTGGATGGTTTGATGGCTTGATGGATTGGTAGTAAGTTAACAATGGTTTCTGGAGTGTTGGCTTGAGTTGAGTTTGTTGGAATATTTTTATGGTTTGTTTTATGAATTCGAGGTTAAGTAAATAATAATATATATTGAAATAAACTGAATATGCTTTGTTTATAAAAGCTTGAAAAGCCAGCAGTGCCTTTGTAAAGTTGGTTAGATTTATATTTTTCGAACACAAAATAACTATTTGCATGAGGCGCTTAAAAGTATGCAAGAAAATCAGCGTATTAGATATGACATCGGTTTGGTGATTTTAACACAAAAAATATTTTTGGAAAAAATATTAGTTTATAGAAATACTATATTCTGAATTAAAAAACGGTTGTTTTTTAATTTTATACTTAATTATAATTAATATTCATAAAAAAGAGAAATTAAAAAAAAATTAATTGTATTAAAAAAAATTTATTGAAAAATTATTTAAAATTTTTTTTTTTTAGTTTTATTATTAAATAACAAAATTTTTTAATAAAATGTGTTTTAAATCAATTAATTAATTATTTAAAACATTTTTTGAATAGTAATTAAATTGTGGGTTTTTTAAATTTGATTGATTAATTACGGTGTTATTAAAAGAGTGAAAATTTTTAATATTTTTTTAAGTATTAAGAAAAAAATCTTTTTTTTTATTATGTTGATTAATTGCAAAATATTATTAAAAAAAATGAAAACTAACTAAAAAATCATTTTTTTACTTCAAAGTTAATTACATAAAATTATTTAAAAAAATTATAATAAACTAATTTAACAATATTATTGTTTTACCAAAAATTATAGATTTTTTAATTTTTATGAAGGTGAGAATTTTAATATAATGTTTTCATTAAATTTTTTTTAAATTCAATAATTTTTTTTTTAATTGAATAAAATTTTTTTAATTCATTATATAAATAATTTTTTTTTTTGGCAAAAAATATTTTACTTTATGCTATGAAATGTGAGCTTATGAGTTACGGAAATGCTTCAAATGACCAATAAATGAGCTGATGAGCCATTTTCTCCATTAATAGTAAACAAACACACACACAAATACCCCACAACAAACACTCAAAATGGGTGCGATACTCATTATTCTCGCAATGTAGCTGCCACTTGTGTATGTGTGTGTGCGGATGAATTTCAATGCATGGAAATGTATGCTTTCTGTTGCATTAAGTTCTGTTGTTGTTTAAGTATTATTTTTGCTTTTGTGCTTACCCGCCAAAAATAGCGCGCCTTATTCGTATCGTTGGGATAGTTCGGAGTTGGAACGCCTTCAAAGGGGCCAAAACGTGTGCCGCGCGGTATCACACCAGTGCTCCAAACTCCTTCAGTCTGCAAAATCAACAAAACCAATATAAAATTTTTATTTAAAATCAATAAAAACTAAGACTTCCGTTCGCTTACCTTAACATTTGGCGTTGAGAAAACCATCGAGGGTTTCAGTGTTAGGCTGCGTGGCAGCGTGCGATCGGCCCGATTCGCTATGCCACGCTCACATTGCACATCGGGTACTATGTAAACGGCCAGCCGTTCGAAATCATCCTCGCGCATGCGCGTCACATCGTAGTCCTGTGTGCCGTCGGGTGAGGGAGTGCGCGCGCTGCGCATTGGCGTTGTCGTCGCTGTGCAGGCGGCCGTAGTCGTCGAGGCGGTGGGCGGCGGCACTATAGCGGGACTTTGCGTTCGATGCGACAGCGTCGGCGTTGACGTCGCCGCTGTGGACATTGTGCGATTGTTGGCTGGCTGTTGTTGTTGTTGCTGTTGTGATTGTGTATTGACGGTGGTGTTCATGTTGTTGTTAGTGTTACGACTAATGCTAGTACTACTGCTGTTGCAATGCTTTCTGCTGGTATGTGCTGCTGATTGTTGCGCTAGTTGCACGTTCATTGTGTGTGTTTTTTGATTGGTTTTCTTGGTTCAGTTATTTATACGGTTCTTTAAATTTTCGTAAAAAATTCTGTGTATTTCGTGTTCTTGTGTACGAAATTTATCTATATTTATACATATAAATTTTTTTTTGGTTAGTTATGCAGGAGGTTGCAGTTTCCACGTTAGTACGTTGCAAAATGACTTCTTATAAGGAAAATTTACTGGAAAGAGAAAAAAAGTTAGAATTACAATATTATAAAACCTTTTAGAAAGTAAAAAAAATATGTTATTTAAAAAATATATATTATCTAAATAACATAATTTTATTTTCATTATTTTATAATTTTGTTACTCCTAAATGGAGTTTTCTTAATAACTAAAAAAGTTTATATTTTAACAATATTTATTTTATTAAGTAATTTTAATTTTACTATTTTCTATTAATATTTAATATTGGTGTAATATTGATTAATTTTATAAATTAAGTTACATTTTTTTGGTTCCAAAACACTGAAAAATTTTAACAAAAAATAATTTGTTTGGACCGAATTTTTTTTCATTTATATTAATTATGAGAAAAATTTATTAAAAAAAAGTTATATCTAAATTATTTAAGTTAATTTTCATTATTAACACAAATATTTTTTTTTTACTGTTGAATTAATTTTACTAAACAGTTGATACATATCACATATTTTAACAATATTAATTATATCGATACCATATAAATTTTTCTAAAATAATTTTACTTTCATGCATTAAAAGTTAACGTTTCGAAAATTATAAAAAAAAACGATTTAACTATATATTTTAATAATATAACAAAAAAAAAAAAATTATTTGTAAAAAAAAACTCAAATAAAAATTTTTAAAAATTTAAATTTGATACCATATACATATTTCTAAAATAATTTCACTTTTATACATTAAAAATTAACGTTTAAAAAAAAATAAAAAATGATTTAGATTAATATTTTAATAATATAACAAAAAAAAAAATTTATTTTAAAAAAAAACACAAATAAAAAATTTTCAAAATTTAAAAAATAATAATTAGTATTAAAAATTTTAAATAAATATTTTATAAAAAAAAAATAAAATCTTAAATTAAAAAATTATCCGACCTTTTTTAACGACTATCAATAATCACCTTATTTTGTTTTAAAAATTTATATTATTAAAAAATAAATCAAATGAAAAAACGTAAATAAATAAAACAAATTGTTTAATCTTATTTAAAACAAACAAAAATATACACAAAAAAAATTTAATATAAAAAAAAATTAAAATAATAGTAATAATTTTTGTTAGTTAGATTTGCTTTATTACAAAATCTATATTTTAGAGGTTTTTGTTTTTTTTGGTATTGATATAATATTTTTTTAAATAAACATTTTATACATTTTTTTTATATTATAATATTTTTAAATATTCTTCTAGAATATTAGTTATTTTTTTTAGTTATTTTTATTAAAAAATTGTTGTTTTATTTTTATAGCTATTTAATTTTACTTTTAATGAAAAAAAATAATTTTTTGTTTATATATGTATTTTATTTTTTATATACATATTTTTTTGTTAATCATATATTGAAAAAAAATTCGTTTGAAAATATTAATTTTTTTTAATTCGATTTATTTTTGAATTTACGACAACACAAGTGAAAAACACATTTTATCCCCAAATTTTGCCAAAACATTCAACCTTCGCATGGAAACTATGCACATTCATACACACGACTGTCTAAGGTAAAAGTTGAAGGCCTCAGATACATATCCAAATATATGAGTATGTATGTACATGTGTATGTGTGTTAGCGTAAAAATCCCGCAATAGTATGCGCGATAACCTTAAACTTGAACTACAACAACATCAGCCGAGAACTAATGACCTTTAGACGTAGTAAAAATAAATTTCACCATGAATTTGCTTCCTCTCTTTTTAGCCTCTTTCTACTTGCCGTGAACTCTGCTTCTTGTTGCTTTGGTCAATAAAATATTAATTTTATATTATAATTGTATTAAAAGCCAAGGTTAGAGCAAATTTATTGTATGTGTGTTTGATGCATTCACTTCACTCACACATACACATGCACACACTCTTTCTGGCGAACACTTGCGCTTTTCGCCGCGCTCATGCAAAGCGTAATTGCCGCCGTTGTCCACTCGAGAGCCACTACCCAATTACCTACTTATTGCTTCGTGAGTATGTAGGTATGAGTGTGTATTGTTGCTTATTAGGGTGGGGGTGTGCACAGACACTTATATGTATAAACACATGTGTTTGTTGAAGGGTTTGTGTGCGCAAACAATGCAAAAAAGTGCTAAATGCCAAGGCTTTATTTGCATGCCAGTGCAAAATATGTAAATATGTATTTTTGTGGGTGTATGTGTACTCGTACATCGGTAGTCTAAATAACGCTCAGTCGGTATTTGTAGTGACGACAGTCGCAAAGTTTCGCTGCTGCATTTTCACTTTTACTTTAGCTGCCGTCACTGGCCCTGCTGGCGTGATGCTTCATTATTTCCGATCGGAAAAAAGAAAATATTTATTGATTCCCCCAAGTACCCCAAGTACGTACTCATATATGCATGTATATGTAAGCAATATTTATGATGAGTAAACGTATATTGAATATGACATATTGTTGAAAATTATTTCTTGAGTAACTTTCATTTGAATATTAGAATTAAACTAGTATTTGTATGCATAATAAATTATTTTTCGTCGTCACCTGCCACCAATTAACATTTCTAGCTACACTAATTGTTCATTTTCTCACTACAAACCCTTACTATTAAACTCAAAATCACTAATTTACTCCTACACATTATGCACTTTGAGTCACTTTTTATGGCTCTCGTTCTTCACTTTGCATTTTCAATGCCAGGCTTACCATTTGAGCGAAAAAGCTACTCAACTTTAATTTCACTCCAACGTTTTATTTGCCACTCAAGTACTGAAAGAGCCTCCAGCTGTCAAGTGCAACTTGTGCAATATATTTGGTAACCTCGTTAGAGTTACGTACTTGATTTTGCTGCACAAATGCCCTCTACAGGCAATATATTGCCGGCGTGTTTGTATATGTGACGGGGAGTCTTCTTTTGCTCTGTAACACAATATGTTTGTTATAAATTGCCTTGAATGCGTCTGCTTGCGAGAGTTTTCACTGCAAAATGTTGACGGTGAAATTAAATGACGCATTGAATTTGTTAAATCACAAAATAAAATTTGTTGAACGAAAGCCAAGGAGAAAATTTGAAGAATGTTTTTTTAATATATATTTTTTTAAATTTTAATAATTTTTAGACATTAATTAAAAATACAATTTTTATTTAATTATGTAATCATGAATTATTAAAATTTTTTGATGTATTATTTTAAATTTTATAATATTTTAAGTATTAATTACATATAGTTTAATTAGATATTTTAAAGTTTTTTGTTTTTATTAAATTATTTAATTTTTAAAATTAATTAAATATTTTAATTAAGGTTTTCAAACTTTTCTTTGTTTAATTTAAATTAGTTTTTGTGATTGTTTTATTTCAAAATTATTTAAATATTTTCTTAACTAATTAAACATATTAATTAAGTACTTTTAAGTTTTAAAACATATTGTAATTTTATTAATATATTTTCAATTAATAATTTTATGAATTTTACTTGCACACATTTTTAATAAATTAAAATGTTTACTATTTAATTTTATCTTATATATTTTTATATAAAGATTTTGTTAATTATATGTATTATATCTAAAATTGTTAAAATTTGATGTCAAAATTTTTATTAATTTTTAACTAAAACTTTTTAAGCTTACATTATTTTTATGTAAAATCTTTTATAATTTTTATTTTTGAAATTTTTGATATAAATTTTTATCCAAAATATTTTCTATTATTTTCCAAAGTTTTCTAAATTTTTTTAACGTTTATTAAAATGTTTAAAACTTATTGAAACTATATAAAATAAATCACTAATATTAAACCAACGTTTTCTTAATCTTTTGAAATATTTTTTATCTAAAATTATAATTTTTGTCTTTAATATTATAAAATTTGGTTGAACTCTAAGTTATGAAAGTCTGTTTATAACTTTTCAAAGATATACAGATGTTAATCAATCACTAATATTATTGTAAATACTTATAAAATATAATACACAATATTTATATCGACCTCGAATGAAATCAATGGAACGTTAATAGCGTTTTTGGAAAAATAATGTAGATTCGACTTATGTAAAATTAATTTTTGGAAAAATTAAAAAGAGCTTTGAGACAATACTAAAAATTTTATTTGCAAAAACAGAAACAACTCTACCAAAATATTTTATTTTTTACTTGAATAAAGATATATAAACACAGTTGTGCTTACCATACGCCTACTAGCGTTAATATTTCGCGGCCCTACACGTCGTATGAGTAACCTTTTCCATATGAATTCAAGCAAACGGTGCATATGCCTTGCTGTAAATTATCACACACAGCTGCTTTCGCTTTAATTTATTTCTGTAGTTTCTTTATAAAAATTCTCACTTATATATTTGTGTGTATTTGTATTACAAAATATATATATTATTTTTTTTATATTTTTTTCTTCAAAAAATATGTGTAAAATGTAAATTTTCACTTTCATGCGAATATTTGTAGGCATCAAATTGATTTTTGATTCTGTCTTTTTCATTTGCTATTGAGTAGGCGGCTGTTGCTGTGAAAAATTTTAATTTTCATATATTTGTGTGCTGTACAATTTTTCACGTCATACAAACTTGTATACTCGCACTCAATATGCACTCAATTTTCAAATTTTGCGCTTCAAAATTGCTCAGTGGGTGTTCATTTTATGTACACGTATATGTATTTTGTTGCTAATTTTGTTAAAGTCTTACTATATTTGAACATTTACTTTGATTTGCATACGCGCATGCCGCCGCTGCCGCTTGGAGCTCGAACGTTTTGTTTCAAGGCTGCGCCGGAAAATAATTTCACTTTACCCATAAATGTGCAAAAAATAACGCTTTACGCTACAAATTCGCTACAGCATGTCGGCATTCATACTATTTAGTGTTTATTTTTAAACTGAAGGGTTGCGGTGCAAACATACTGACACACAAATCTACTGCTTGGACATTTTCGATGCGAACCTGTGTTGGCGCTGCCGAAAATTTTCGCTTTGCAATTTTTCTAAAGCAAATCTTCACTATTTCGCACGCAATTGTTGCAGAATTAAACAAATGCTTTACACTTTGTACTTGTTCAGCTTGTTTTGCACTTTTCGAAACAAAATTAAATTTTTATTGATTAACTGCAGCGCTCGCACTGTTATCACTGCAAAAATTGCAACACAGTCAACAGTATACAGTTATTGCAAAGTCGATTTTTATAAAAATTTTCTGTTTAGTATTTTACACGCTCTCAACGAGTACTAAAGTAAAAATTATTATAATTTTTTTTATAATTTTAAATAAATTTTTCTTGTTCTCTACATCTTGCGCTCGTGCAGCTCGACGTTAACATGCGAGTCTGCATTCAAAAATGCACTAAAATGTATGTGTAGGCGCTGACAGCCCATAGCCGAGCTGTAAGAGCGGTCGAGCGTTGGCGCTTCTGCTAAGCGAGCAATTGTCGAGCTGTCAAAATGAGTAGAATATTGCCTCCATATAAACTACTAATAGCAGAGAAAATGGCAAAAACAAAAACATAACAACAACAACTTAAGGATAATAAACGGTTAAAACTGGTAGCATTGCTTAAAATTGTATATATTTGATTCGCTTTTGTTCACTCAAACGAAATACTCAGCGAACTCACAAAATTCTATGAATATATATATGTATGTTGATTTGTTTTTGCGCCTACATATGCGGAAGTGTTGTTGTGCACAAATGCAATTGCAGCTGCCATCCACTACTGACCCATTTTCTAGTCACAAACACACATACACACAATACGAGCGCGCGCAAAGCTTTTGAGCACCCTTAAATTAGCATTACACTCAAGCGCACAAAACGCTCTCAGCGCACAACAAAATAATATGAGTGACACAATTGCACACATTTTGTATGTGTTTGCGAGTTTGAGTATTTGTTTGAGTGACTCACATAGTTCTTATCAAATGGGGGTTGTTGTGCATTCGATTGCCAAGGTAGTGTTCACAGTGGCCGTCAACTGCCAGCTGAACGTTCGGCTGCCTTAAAACCAGAAAGCTTTCGTTAGACCGCCAAAAAGCTCTGGACTCGTCATGACCATCGTATGGCGGCAAACAACTCACGGCTACTTCGGCATTTGTACACACATTTCGAATCTGTTGTGGTAGCACTGCTTGATGTCATATGGCAAGCAGTCGGCGCCAGCGACACAACATACACAGACATATACAAACACACCAACTACTAGCCTTGTATACGCCTCACTCCCGGTTAGCTGCTTCATGCACTTAATGTTTTATAAGCTATAAGGATTTCCTTAATATTTTGCACTTTCGCTCTCACACTCTTGTGTGTTTGTTTGTATATTTTTTGTATTTATTCTATGTGTATGTATAAACATGTACTAGCTTATTGTAAATAGCAAAGGGCACGCTGCTGTCGTTGCACAGGTTGCTTTGCAGCAGGTAGTAATTTTGTTTGTGCTACTATTTTGGCTTCTTTTTGTTTGTCTATGTTTAGCGTTGTTGTTATTGTAATTACTAATTTTAGCAAAGCGCCGTCTACCCACCAAATGTGCTGCATTGTATGCACATTTTTCGTGCACAACTGTAGCTGCTAAAATTGGTTTGCATTTCGGAGGTATTTTTAGGTTAGTTCGGGTGCGCAATTTATTCGATAAGTGTTTAAAAGTACCGTAAATGAAAATATGTGTGAGTGTTTATGTGTGTGTGTTGCATAGCATTGGCATGCCTTAGTTTCATGACTGTGACAAAATCTGAAGAAATTGCTTATAAGCATTTTTCATTACAAGGCAAAATGTTGTTTTGTCTTGTTGTTGTGCATTTTTATAGCCATTTTGCTACAATATTTTTGCCAATTTCGCTTTTATACAGTTACATAATAATTTTATTTTGTATTCTTTGTTGTATATATGTGTGCCTCGCAACACATTTTCACTCAAAAAGTGAAATTCTTATATACAATTTTGTTTCCTTGTTGCTTAGATGCGTGTGCAATGTTGCCGGGATGGGCAACATGTTGCTGAGCATACACTATGAGAGTTTTAGAATAATTTTTTATACATAATCTTTGGTTTTAAAAAAAATTTTACTCATATTATTTGCCTAAAACGCTATAAATCAGTTTTGAAACAAAGTATAAACTTGAAATATAGTCCTTAGCAACATGTTGCATACGAAACGTACATAAAAATGTTTCAGCGCAACATAAATGCATAAAATAATGCAAGACTGCATTATATATGAGTTTCTATTGCATAACATATTATTTTGAGTAGAAATTAATGTGAGTTTATGAGGAAAGAATTTAAAAAAAGTATAATTTTGGTCATTTAACAAATATCTACTATCAATAAAAATTTAAACTAACAAAAAATAAAACAATATTTAAAAATTATAATAAAAGTTTTAAAACATAAGAATTTGAACTTGAAAAACAGTTTTTTGCAATTTGAGAAATTTTTTAAAAATTTGAAAAAAAGTATTTTTTAACCCAATCTGCAAATTCCGTAAAAAATAATTTTTAACTCAACATATTTTTTATAAGTTTTTAAAAGTTCTAATTCTTAAGTAAACAGAT